AAGTTGATTTTTGTTTTTTAAGAGGTGCTAAAGTATGAAGTCTTATTTCACTTGTGATTAATAAGAGGTGGTACTGAAGTCTAAGATCTGAATAAATAAGACTGTTTGTTTTTGTAAACTGATTATTGTCTGAATTTGTTTAAATTGTCTATTTTATCAATTAGAAAATTATAATATTGAATTTATAGATAAATTTATACAATTTCACATATTTATTTATCATCATTACGAAATTTATATAAATTATATAATTAACATTCATCTAAACGAAAATATGTCATTAATGGTATTTAATACATTTAAATCCTATTAAAATACAAAAATTGAGAGACAGGGAGGATCGATTTGGTGATGATCAATTGAGAGAAATGATCTATTAAGGTTAATCGATTGAGGAACATCGTTGCTAAAGATTTCGAGAACAATAAGAGGCAAATAAGATGTTGGTTTACCTCTTACCAGATAAGAGTACAATAAGATATAAGTGCCTTCGAAAATTTGAAAAAACAAACAATCTGAATGATCTCACCTCTTAACGAATCAAACATAAGAGACTAATAAGAAACTTTTATCAAAAACAAACAAGACCTAAATCTGAAAGATATCAATTGGTGAGACATTATCTCATTATTTTTTCTTATTGGTGCCTTGGAGCCGCAGATTTTAAGGCCTTGGGCTTAGTTTAGCTTCCTTTATAAACTCCATTTTGTCTTATTAGTTAGTCTTCTTGTGTAAGCTCCATGCTCATACATATGAGTTAATTCTAAGCTAAAAATACAATTAACCTTTGGGTTTTATAATCTCTCTAGTTTTCTTTAAGCTTTTGGTTTTCCTTGTTTACAAACAATAACCGAATTTGTTGAAGAAAAATTGCTAGTTTGCTCTCAATTATTATTCTAAGTGCAAGCGTTCAAGTTTCATCTCATTTCCTTTTACTCTCAATTTAAAAAAGCTTTTCGATTTTCGTTATAAGTTGGAATCAATCGATTACTATTGCATTATATTGGATTTCATTCTTTGTGGCTCACGATTGATTTCCTTAGATAAAAATATGTTTTTAAGTGTTTGCAAGAAATTTCTCACTTTTAGTGACGAAACTTGTCTTGCAAGTTTCATGACTTAGCGTGCAAGTTTCCTTAGTTTCTTTTTTACGAGTCTTTACTTCTACTTTATGTCTTCTCTTTTAGAGTAATTTTAATTTCCACTATTTACTTTTTAGTATCTTAATTGTACTCTTTTACTTTCCAGTAATTTAATTTTCAGTATTTTAATTCATGCACTTTACTTTACTGCAATTTACTTTTCAGTAATTTAATTTCAGTCATTTATTTATGTACTTTAATTTCTAGTATTTTAATTACCAGTATCTTATTTCTCGCAATTTATTTTTCTGCATCACTTATTTATTTTTCAATCTTTACATCCTTCGCGAGAAGAAACCGAACGATGATGAGCTAAATGCCTTAGCTTGGGGTGAAAGGGGAAATTAATACCAAAACCGATGTGAAAGTACAAAGATGGCTTATTAGCATTATAATTTAACTATTTGTTTCAAGTGATTAATATTTCATTGAAGATTACATTAAAATTAATTGACAACTGATTTTGTGTATGAAAATGCATTAACTTTCAAAGTTAAGATAAATAAGAAAACCCGAGGTAATAAGGCTATAAATAGCTTTAGTATTTGACAAGTACTATATCCTACGGTATAGGATGATAACACTGTCTTGTGTTAAGATTCACAACGTCTAACATAAATTATCGTATCGATAGCACGTTGGTCGGTGTGTACTCTTGGGAGGCCGTCTGACCCGATAGTTGATACTGTGACAGTTCTGTAAAATCATCATGCGGTTTTATAAAATTGTGACAGGAGTGCTATATCACCTTTCTGCCAGATCATCTTTCGTGTTTTAATCAACCTTTACACCATGTGCTTCTTTTACGGCTGATATTTTCTTAGTTGCTAATCAAATCTTTCAACTTTAGATAAATCAAATCCCTCGTCTTCGTCATCTGAAATTAGTTTTTATAGATTGGACTTTTAAAGAATAACCTTAGAAAGCTTTCTCTGTGGGAACAATATCTGGTATTTATACCATTATTACTTGTTACAAGACGATAGTAGTTCAAAGTGTATATTTACACCGAGTTCTATTTTTGTGTTGAAATCTAAGGTTGCATAAACCGAACGAGTAGCCATCCATCACCTGAATTACAGGATACGTCCTTGGCTATATTATGGTATATTTGGTTTAATTACAGAGTGGAGATGAAATAAAAGAGATTTCTTTTTCTCAATACAAAAACTTTTAATTCAAAATAAATAGTATTCCCATAACTTATATTACAAAATATAAAAATGATACATCATACTAAGGGGCCGTTTACCCAAACGTTTATCCGGTAAGTGCTTACCATTAGCAGTTAACACTATAATTTATTTTGATGCGTAAGATTTTAGTACAACAAAACATATCGAATGCAACAATTTGTTGGGTAACCGCTTACCTGGGTAAGAGTCGCCATCCTCACTTACCGCGTAAGACTCTCAATCATTCTCATCGCTTTTACCTGGTAAGATTCTTGGCCCTTCTCATGTTCATCCAATAAAAAAATTTATGACGTTAAGCACTTACCAAGTAAGTGTTTAATAAACGGCCCCTAAGTTCAAGATTTGCAACATCAGAAAAGACGACAAAATGCACCTTAATTTTGAATGTTTCCCCTGAATGCTAGGATAAGACATCAAATGAAAAGTGGCTTAATAAAAACAGTATACCACGCAAAGATATATATGCCTTCAACCCAGTGTAAGGGAAGACTAGCACTTTATTTCCCAAAGTTAAGCTTCACGTCTGTAAAGTAATGTACATGTCTTATTGCATCATGTATAAGTTTGTTGAAAGCTTAATTATTTGGGTCTTTCAATAAAGTACCCAAAAGAAAGATGAGCAAAAGTTGAGAAATAAAAAGCAAAGTTGGATTAAATTATGGATGTTTCACTTTTATTTGTTTCAAATACAGGATGAACAGTTGGATTTTCAATTTAGACCCTTAGGTATCTGAATATACAATTTGACCCCTTCAAATTGGATAATAATATAATTCAAAAGCTCAATTTAATGGTTTGTGATTTTATTTTAGTAATTAATACTAATATGACGTAGATGAAATGTAAGTAAAGCTTGATGTATTTTTAAACATAAATTTTCCAATATGGTTTTTCCCCAACTACAAAACTTTAAATTATAAATTCTTAATTGTGTATCTTTGGAGTAGACACGCTGATCAAAAAAAATTTTGTGCCTTCGAAGACACACAATCGACCAACTCTTGGGAGTGTGTGGACCACTACTAGAAAACCAGGTATCAGTGACGAATATCAGCGAGGGAAAAAATTCATCGCAGATCAGCGAGGGAATGAGTTTTTGGGCATTCTCTTGCTGATCTGCGAGGGATCACCGAGGGATCGTAGGTAATGAGATCAGCGAGGGATCAGGCCAAAAACAGTTTCCCTCGTTGATCCGTCGCTGAAAGATCCCTCGTTGATCCGTCGCTGAAAGACCCCTTGATGATCCGTCGCTGATATATTCTCTCGCTGATCCGTCGCTAATATATTCCCTCGTTGATCCATCGTTGAAAGTATCCCTCGCTGATATCATTACCTACGAGCATTTGACCGACGGAGTATCAGCGATGGATCAGCGACGGATAACCCTTTTAGCGGCGGATTTGAGAGAGAATTTTCCCTCGCTGATACTCTGCATTTTTTTAGTGCTAGACATGTTCACTACTATTTCTAGCGTTGATGGCAACATTTTTTTGGATTGTGTTCAAGGTTCAAAATGACGTTGGACATGGTGGAGTTTAATCACTCGTAAATCTCACTCTCGTATGTCCAATTTAGTCATGTCCAACCTCGTCCGAATATCAAACACACCATAACTAATAACCAAGAGTTTTGCTCATTTTAAACGTATCTGATATGATGATGGATTCAAACGTCATAAATATACCCGATCAAATTATTAGATACCATAGTCACAAAGAAAACAAACAAGACAAAAAGTTTACGTATTTAAAATAAAAAACGAATCTACTGGTACAATTGTACAGTTAAGACAAAAATATTTGTCTGGGTCCGGATGATTTCATTGTTATCGAAATATGTTGGATGCTTGATAATTTAACATTGAACATGTTTTTATCTCGAGTCAATAAATTTTGAAACTTTTAATAAAATATGTTTAACGTGTATGTACAAGGATTAATTACGTAAATCTATTGGCATCAATAACCTATAAAAACGCGTTACAACTTTAGTATAACTGATCTATTAAATGATTATTCGTGTGTGAATGTCTTTATGATAACGGCCCATCGAATTCTCAATTGTACAATATGAATGGACGTTAACAAGAGGCGTTTCGTCCTCGTTCGGATTGTGAAGACATACGTAGCTTAATATATATGTTGTTATCAAAGACATGAACAAATTAACCAAAATAGGAATTAATTTGATGAATTAAAAGTATGTATCATTGACTTGGGTGGGACATGGTCGTTGACTACAAAAGTTGGACCATTGGTGTTTGCACGTAAAAAAGTGAGTTGGATACCGTCCAAACCCTAAATGTGATGACGTATTGATTCTTTGTTACTTGATTACGTCATCACTGAATGTTTGATCTCAAATTTGTCATATGTATAGGTGAATGATAGTGTAAAAAAAGGGTTAAGACGAGAAGTATAAAAAATAATTTGTATTTTTAATCATTTTTAATCTCAAATTAATTGATGAATTGTGCTTGATACGAGGATTAATCTAGTGATCTCATTCTAATGTATATTTAAAGGTGGAGATTTATTCTTACGCTTCTTACATTAATTCTCATTCTCACCGAAACTCAACCCCATATATATATATATACACACACAAACTTGGACCATATAAAACCTTGTAAACAATGGCGGGCGATTCACATTCACTTGCTGCTGCTCTAAACCCAACTCCGTCCAACCAATTTCATTAAATTTAACGTCTGTGTGGACCTCCTTTTAACAAATAGAAACACCCACTCACTATAAATAAGCTACTTGTCCTTGCCTAAAAAAGAAGCACCATACCCTTTCTCTCCCTATAATTCACCACTTGCTTTTCAAATTCTTCCATGGAAGCATACTGGGAATCCTTCCTTCAAGCAGATGATTGCAGGTTTATATTTCTCTCCTCCTCTCTATTTTCCATCTCTGCTTTTCAATCTTCTGATTCCTACCTCATTTGATTCGATCACATAGTTGGGGGATATTAGAAGAAACGTTCTCGGGCTACTACTCAAGCTCCCCCGACGGACCTCAGTCGTCGGCAACCTCCAAAAACATCGTCTCCGAGAGGAATCGAAGGAAGAAGTTGAATGACAGGCTCTTTGCACTTAGAGCAGTGGTCCCTAATATTAGTAAGGTATGATTTGTTCCGTATAATGCATCTTGTTTGCAATTCCTCCATGTTTATCATAAACAACACTTGTAATTTATCGATTACTTATGAAAAAAATGTTATGTTAGTCACTTTTAACTTGGATTTGGATTTGGATTTGTACTTCAAATTTGATGATCATAACTTGGTCTCTACGCTTTCTAAAGATGGATAAGGCTTCGATAATCAAAGACGCAATTGATTATATTCAAATGTTGCAAGATCAAGAGAGAACGATCCAAGCGGAACTAATGGAGCTTGAGTCTCGAAAATTAGAGCTCGAAAGTTTGGATTTCTGTCACGAGACGGAGTTTCTGTCAATGGAGAGATCAAAGAAGAAAAAGCTTGAACAAGCCTTCGACTCGAGTGGATCAAGAACATATCCCATCCAGGTTATACAAGTAAGTCATGTTATTGAAACTCATTTTACATTATTTGATACGTAAAATTAATGATTGAATACAGCAAATTATAGGTGACATTTTATTGATTTGATGGGATATATGTTAAAAGCAAGTAATAAACCAACGCTAAATATAACAGTTATCGGTATCATATGTGGGAGAGAAGACAGTGTTGGTGAGTTTGAAATGCAGTAAAAGAAGAGACACCATTGTGAAGCTTTGTGAGGTGTTTGAATCTTTGAAGCTCAAGATTGTGACGGCCAACATCTCTTCTTTTTCTGAAAGCCTCTTCAACACTCTCTTTGTTCAGGTACCCACCAGCATTCTTCTTTATTCATATACTTACACATATCATATATCTCAAAATCATTTTAACCCTCTTTTATTTAACTCCGATTTGATACCACATAAGTTAATAAGCATTTAAAAAAAAAACATAAGTTGTTTTAAATAAGCAATCCCAAACACCCCATAAATATATGATGCAAATCATATATGATTACAAGTCATTTTTATAATATGGATATATGTCAATAAACTTGACTTTTAAAGATATGGAATATGATTTCCTCAAGAACACGTTTTAGGGAAATTTTTGGAATGATTAATGACAGCTAGGCCGTTCTCAAATATCACAACAACTATTTCCTATTAATTAATTAATTATGTATCGTTAAATATAATCATTGTCTATTAAATATTTAAAAATCATAATAAATGAACTCTTATCATTTACATAAATATTTCAATTGAGTGAGTTATATGAATGTGATATGTTGCATTTGAAACGTTCTCTTTCTCTCTCTCTCTCTCTATATATATATTAATGAAATTATTTAACATAAACAAACAAGATTAATGATATGATTAATATTTTCTTTGTTCTAAAATAATTATTTATGTTATTTGATTAGGCTAAAATTAGATATAAATAATACAATTGATATTATTATGGAAGTACAGAATTATGATGCATATTTCAATTAAGTATGTAATTTAAAAATGTGAAAGAAAAATAATATCCTACTTTAATGATTTTACATAAAGTGTCGTGCTTTGGATCTTCGAAATATTGTATAATATTTTTGTTTTTATATTATTTATTACGTATACATATTCTTGTTAAATCTGAATCAATTTAATTAATGTAATTTGTTGATTTAATAATAACATCATCTTAAGCTTTTATTGATTAATTTTTAAACATCTAGTAATTGAAATTAAGGAAAATTAAATGATATAATAAATATTTGTTTAATTAAGTATGTATTGGTAAAAATATTAAATTAAACCTTTATCTGTAATCTCAAGTTAAATGTGTTTGAATTTATTCTCAAAAAAAATATAGTGTGAGACTCGTGTTTCAATTAATTAATTAAAAATGATTAGTTGAATAATGATGGGATAAATTCATATTTTATGAAACAAGAAGTAGTGGTAGGCTCAACACGTTTTTTTTTAATTAAAAATAATTTTTTTGGTTATTTTCTTTTAATACAATATTTATACTTACGGGTTGTTTACCAAACACTTACCCTAGATAAGTATGTATCGAGAAAATACAACACTGTCACTTACTTACCGGGTAAGATTTTGGTCCATCAAAATGATATAATATGCAACAATTTACCCGTTAAATGTTAACCGTGGTAAGAATCATCGCCTTCACTTACTGGGTTAGACTCTCGGTTCTTGCTTTCGCTCTTACCGAATAAGATTCTTAGTCCTTGCCATATGCATCCTCGTCATGACATGTAAAGCTTAAAACTGGTCTATAACAGAGCCCCATATTTCAAAAAATAAAGGCTCCAGATCTTATCAAAATGACAAACATATAAATAGTATATACTTAAAATATATTATTTTATATTATTATTAGTAATATTTTTTATTTTCATGATAAATAAGTACTTGCAGAATAAAAACCTAATGAAACATGATGAAGATGACATAAAATGCTTATTAATTGTTATGATTTTCATTATATCTAGAAAATAATAAATTTTAATATAAAAACCAATTATTAAATATATCCCAAATTAAAAGAAACAATCATTGAATAAATTTTAAATTAGAAGAACTAGTTACACGTGGAGTAATATTATATATAGAAATATCACTAGGTCATAAAATACCAAAGTGTCGTCATCCGAACAATAAACAAAATGAATATATTACAATTTAATCTGATTTTTCTATTTGAAAGTTAGTAAAACACTAAAAGTTAAAAACAAATAGTTTAAGGTGTTTTTTTTTTTAATTTTAATTTGTTTTTCGAATTTATACCACCATTACTATCTTATTTTAATCACTATTAAATAAGAGTAGATCGAGCATTATGACTTTCTTCCGCCATAAATCACACATTTAATATGTTTATTCTAACAAGTTTTTATGTTATAAGAATATATTTATTTTGATCGTATTTTTAATGCATTATAGCTTGTTAATTTTTTTTTTTATTTTAGATGAAAATTTATGTAGTAACACAGTTTATAAAATATTATGATTTCATGGTTGTTTTTGTCCCCAAAATTAGATCTATTAAAAATCCTCCATTTAATTTAGGAATATTTTAGTTTTTTTGATTTTTTTTCTTTTTTAGTTTATTAAATATATTTTTTAGTATTTCAGATTTTGATTTAATCAAATTATAGATTTTTTTGATAAAAAGAATTAATACATAAAAAATTATATTATATTTTTATTGTTTATGATAAAATGGTTAAATATTTTTCATACAATTCTTGTTTCATATTTTCACTCATCGTATTTTAGTTTTTTTATTGGTTCGATTTCTTTTACTAACGTCACTCACATGCAAATCGTTGAGTATCTCTCATATGAAAGTATTTTAATTCTTTTTTCTTCATTAGAGACTAAACGATTAAGGAGCCGTTTACCCAATTGCTTACCTATAGGAGTCAACACTATGATTTATTTTTATGCGTAAGATTTTAGTACATCAAAACATATCAAATGCATCAAAGAGCCTTTGGCCTACCGGTATGCGAGTCATTGACTTTCTAAGAGGTCAATGGTTCAAACCTCACCAAATGTGAGAAGGGTGTGTGAGTTTATTTGTTCTATTTGCCGTATATAAATATTATATACTTCAAAAAAAAACATATCGAATGCAACAATTTACAGGGTAAGAATCGTCATCCTCACTTACCGGGTAAGACTCTCCAGTCTTCTCATCGCTCTTATTCGGTAAGATTCTTGGCCCTTCTCATGTTCATCCGATGAGAAAATTTACCCGGTAAACACTTACCAAGTAAGTGTTTAATAAACGGCCCCTAAGTTTTTTGTAGAACCAAACAATTAATTATATTAGGCTATATTTACCAAATAAATGCATGTGATTTTATGAATAGAAGGTATAATTTTATAAACTTATTTTAACATATTTATATAGATACATTTGTCTGGTATAATTGAATGACTTATTAGACCAAACAATTGCACGTCTTATTAATAAAATTTACATACATTTGTTTGCTAAGAACAACCGAAAATAGTTAGTTATTTGGTCCTGTTAAAAATATAATTCTTTGGTCTCTAGTCAAGAAAAAAAATACTCTTATGTGAGGGGTACCTCACCGGCTTGCATTTGTGCGATGTTACTGACATAAATCGAACTTATAAAAAAACTAAAACTATAATGACCAAAAAAATATAAAAAAAACTAGTATTATTAACAGTAACAAAATAATATATATTTTTATTTGTTAATTTTTTAATAAAAAATATATAGTTTTATTAAATAAAAAAGACAAAAATATCAAAACGAAAACCAAAAAATATATTTAATAAACCAAAAAAAAAAAATTAAAAAGATTAAAATGCCCCTGAGATAATGAAGGAGTTTTACGATATTTAGTCTCAGGGATGAAAACAATAATAAATTAAGAACCATGGGGGCGGGAATTACAATTTCAAAACTACAAGGATGAAAATCGTAGTTTTCTCTAGTAATAACTTGTGACAACAACTATGATGAATTGTTATAATTAGTAGTTATAACACCCGTCCGAAATGTATTTGAAAACATTCGAGAACAAAATCGGGTTTTTGCTAGGTAGCAAATTTGCAAAACCAGTTATTTTTATAGAAGTTCTCTTACGTATGTCAAAGTACATATATTAAAAAGTTTCAATATTTTCACTTAGGGGCCGTTTACCAAACACTTACCCGATAAGTGTTTACTGGTAAAATTTAACGCTGTTATTTACTTACCGGGTAAGATTTTAATCCATCAAAACGACATTGTATGTAACAATTCACCCGGTAAGCGCTTACTGTGGTAAGAGTCATCGTTCTCACTTACCGGACAAGATTCATGGTCCTTGTCTCGCTCTTACCGTGTAAGATTCTTAATCCTTACCATATTCATCCGGTGAGGTAATGTGACTTGGTAAGCGTTTACTCGGGTAAGTGTTTGGTAAACAGCCCCTTAATTTTGTTTTGAAACAAATGTCCATTTAAGAAAAATAGATAATGACAATAATTTATTGAATTTCCGGTTCAAACCTTAATTATGACGTATAAATATGTAAGAGTTGATGAGTTGGTAGGGTGGATGGGGATTTGTTTAAATCATTGAGGATAAAATTGTCATTCAATTAATTAAAAAATGTAATAGTTGTACATTTTTAAAATGAGAAAAATTTGTAAAAACATAACGAACTATCATATTTTATTTTGAATGATTAAGTTTTTGAACTATTTTTTTGAATTTAAAAACCATTAAACTTTCTTATTTAGAATGCATATGAACTATTGTGTTGAAAAAACCATTACACTTCTCATTTAGAATGATTTAGTCCCTCGGCTATTGTTTTGAATGAAAAACTATTAAACTTTTTAATTTTAAATGATTAAGTCCTTGAACTATTGTTTTGAATGAAAAATTATTAAACTTTCTCATTATAAATGATTAAGTCCCCAAATATTTTTTTTAATAGATAAACAAGCAAACTTTTAGAAATTGGTTATTTACATCACTTCAACAAAAATACTTGCAATCGACTAGAATGTGTTAAAGTAAAAAATAAAACCTAAATCAATTTTACCGCTTCAAATTCTACGCCCTTCAAACCCCTTGCAAACAACGTATCACTTCTTTTCGTCATTCGTTGTCACCCCATCATTTTTCGTTCTTCATATCGCCTATCACACTATTTCTAGTCGGTTATGAGTAGTTTTTGGGGGTTAAAATACTACAAGTAAACAATTTTTAAAAATTCGATGATTTATTTTAAAAATTCGATGGCTTTTTCATTCATAAAAATAGTTCATGGACTTAATAATTCAAAATGAAATTGTTCATCGGGTATTTCTGAAATTTTCCCTTTATAATATATGTTTTTATTTATTTATTATGACACTTGTTTCATTTTACATATATAAATGGTTTCTTATAAGAAATTGATTGGTGTAACAGGCTGACGAGAAAGAGACAGATATTTTGAGGGTACAAATTGAAGCAGCCATATCTGCCCTAAATGACCCTCAAAGTCCAATGAGTATGTAAAATAGACGAAATCTATGGTCATCATCAATAACGATTAGACAATCCATTTTTTCCTTCTTTTATGTAAAGGGTATAATTATGATTACAAATAGAAAATTTGTACCATCACATATTTTTTCTATGTATAAGAGTGTTTAGTTTGATGGTAAATCAAATGTATGCATAGATTTGCCCTTTAAATAACCTCCATAATCTTATTAACTTTTTCCTATCAAATCAAGTGTTTTTTGTTTCTTTTTTTCTTGGTTCTATTCTTCTAATTTTTGATCCGATACCTATGAATAAAATCGCCATGATTTGTTTAATTATCAAACGTTTTTCGTTATCTTTTATTTGTCGAAAGAAGCAAATCCCCCAAATTTCCCAAAATTACTCAAAAATGGTGCATAAACAACAAACTGTAAAACATTTAATAGAAGAGCATTTATACGTGGAAGGGCATAAACCATCCAAAGATGACGGGGGGAGACATGATTTACTATTTGTTGTGACGGAATACATAAGTAAGCTACAAATAGTCAAAGATCTTCCAGCCTAGTGGTAAAGGCTTGGGCATGACATAGTCATGAACCCGAGTTCGAGCCCTGGGAGGGGAGTGTTGGCGACATTTAAGTGGGGCCATGCTTAGCCTCCAAAATTGCCGGGGATTAGTCGGGCTTTGGCCTGGACACCCTTACAAAAAAAAAAGCTACAAACCAATATTATAGAAGCATCACATTTGGATAACCAAATTAGCAAGCTCAACTCCTCGAGTCTTTCACTTGTGGAGCCACCAAGTTCAACTCCTCGAGTCTTTACCTTGAGATCTATATTATCCGAGTTAAGTTAATTCACTTAGAAATTACACTATATGATCATTGGCTGATGCCCGAGTTCAAGAGTCCACACCTTATCGTCTATTAGGATCCAGTGCCTATTTCAAGTTACAAATAATTCACTTAGAAATTTACACTATATGATCATTGGCCGAAGCCTGACTTTAAGAGTTTATAGCTTATCGTCTATTAAAAACCAATGCCTATTTCAAGTTATAAATGCGGAATATCATCTCCAACATATCAAATAAAACTGACTTCTATGCCTATGGATCCATTGTATTCTAGTCATAAAATTACACGACTCAAATTGAATGACTAACGCTCTCAAAACGTGTAATATATTATATAATCATGTCATATTTCATATAACTCTGAAAGTTTGACATAGAGCAATTTAATATTGGACAAATGTCACCAATGCTCATTAAAGTCAAAACTAAGCCAAAACTCAACAACTCAATTGACTATTTCAAAAAACTCATCAAATGCAATAAAACGTATTTAACCGACATTTATATAAATACATGTTCCAAAGACATGATTAATTTAAAAACACATCATTGATTGGGACAAATCATTTTCCAACCAAATCATACCATTTATATTCCAAAAATGTCTCATAACACAATAATATGCATTTCCTAAACCAAAGTGTATTTATATAAAAAATCTCCATTTGTACAATAAATCACCAAAGGTTCACGTTCTTGAGATTTGTTTATAAAAATATCAAAAAACCCCAAATATATGTATTTCACATGATTTACGGACCCAAATGTACCAAATGTGCAAATTTAGTCAAATACTCAACACATTTGATAAACATTAAGTAAAACACTTTAATACTTCAAAAGACTCATTTTCGCATGTACATAGTTTTCATAAAGTAACTTAAACTCACCTTGCTAGATTTAGATTAAGTCTAGATTTTACTCCACATCTTGAGTTTCCTTTGGTGAAAGTTTCAGATCCACAACATCCATCACTAGATCATAAACAAACCTAACATATACCAAAAGCAACTCCAAATTAGATTCATAAACCAAACCCTAAATATGATGCAAAAACCCCAAAAGCTTACCTTTCGACTTATAAGAACCCCATCTCTTTGAGGAAACTCAAATCCTCATTGTTTTCATCTTAAAGAGCTTCAAAAAGTGAATAAGTTATGTCCAAATGAAGTTTAATCCCGAAAATCGGATTTTATTGTGCAGGTGCTCCTCTTGGCGACCCTGAGATGCGATAGTGTCTTATGGCACTATCGTCGGGCACTATAGCCGGAAATGTACCGAGAGTTTTCTCCCTGGTGGTCTTGGCGATCCTGACATGCTATTGTGCCCAATATCACTATCGTTGGGACCTATCCCATGACCCGTACCAAGAGTTTTTCCTACTTTTCACCTAGTTGAGCCTGTTTCCAGCCTACAAGATAATACCCAATATAATCCAACTTAAAAAATACTTAGTTAAACTATTCTAATAGTGAAACATGTATAGGACTTGAGATTTCACCTTACCAAAGATATGGTTATTAGACTATGCAGTGTCACTATTGCATGGCACAATCGTCGAGTCCACCAAACACTCAGTATCACTGGTGCTACCAAAGATATGGTTATTAAAATGCAAACCAAACGCACCCTAAATATGATGCAAAAACCCCAAAAGCTTACCTTTCGACTTATAGGAACCCCATCTCTTTGAGGAAACTCAAATCCTCATTGTTTCTATCTTAAAGAGCTTCAAAAATGAAGAAGTTATGTTCAAAGATATGGTTATTAGACTATGCCAGTGTCACTATTGCATGGCACAATCATCGAGTCCATCAAACACTCAGTATCACCGGTGCTACCGTGACAAGTGTCAAAACCGCATGGCATAATAGTCGAAGTGACCGTACTCTCAGTACCATGGGTGCTATTATGACTGATGTTACAACCACATGGCATAATAGTCGAGACGACCGTACTCTCACTATCTCATGGCACTATACAAACTCCAATTATTAGCTTTTCTTTCGGTTCAACACTTTCTTCAACTGAATATGGATCATGATGTTACAATATTAGTTCACTAAACAAGCCAATAACAAGCCTCAATTATTGTCCATCATTTTCAAATCTGATTTTAAATCTGACTTGTACCTTTGGCAAAACAAGTCCCTCGATAATGAGGAAGGTGACATTTCACACACCCCTTAACTATCAGATAATTATATTCGGCCCCCTGGACTCAATATTTTGGCTAATATAACATTTTTCATCCTTGATCTAACATTTTGTTTCATTTTCAGCCCGATTGATCATAAACTCATTTTTCACTTCTCACTTTCATTAAATAGCATGATTGGCCCCTTTCCACTTTTTTTCTCATTTTTCATCTAATAACATAAAAGCTAATTTTATTTTATTTTATTTTTCTTTTTCAGATTTGTTTATTTACCTCATTTTGGGGTGTCACATTGTGAATCATGTCGCATGCGTCGCTTGCCTAAGGTACACGAGTAACTTTCTCGTGTGGCTTGGGTCATCCGATAGGCCACCCGACTTCTGTTTCCTCCCCTTTTGTGCTATACGACCCGTGCCACCATTCTAGCGGCTTGGACTACTTTTTTCGCAACTTAAGCCCAATAATACCTGTTAAAGCTCAATTGAAATGAATAAAGCCCAATAATACCCGTTAAAGCTCAATTGAACAAATAAGGCCTAATAGGTCTATTAAAACCCAATTGAACCAAATAAGACCAATACGTCCACTAAGATCAGTTAAATCCCAATAGTATCAGTTAAAACCTAATTGAACCGAATAAAGCCTAATAGATCCATTAAAGTCCACTAAGACTCATTAAAGCCAGTATGTCTATTAAAGTCTACTAAGATCCATTAAATTCCAATAGTAACCGTTAAAGTCTAATTGAATTGAATAAAGTCCAACACGTCCGCTAAGATCCATTAAATTCTAATAGTACCTGTTAAAACCTAATTAAACGGAATAAAGCCAAATAGATCCATTAAAGTCCACTAAGATTCATTAAATCCCAATAGCACCTGTTAAAGCCCAATCGAACCGAATAAGGTCAAATAGATCCATTAAAATTTAAAGTCCAAGATAAATCATTAAAACCCAATTGAACCGAGTAAAGCCCAATACATCCATTAAAATCCATTAAAGTCAAATAGTGTTCGTTAAAGCCCAATTGAACCATCTGAAATACAAGAAAAAAAATTAAAATTCATCTAAAATTTTATATTTCTTCTTCTTTATTTTCTTTAAAAATAAATTTTCTGGAAGAAAAAATAAAAAAAAAACATTTTTTTAAATAAATTCAGACAGATTTTAATTTTTTATTTAAAAACTTAAATTCCGTCAAAAAATCCGTCGAAAATTTTAAATTTCTTTCTTTATTTTCTTTAATTTAATTTTTTAGAAGGAAAAAAAAAACCCTTTTTCTTAAAAATTTCCGACGAATTTTAATTTTTTCAATTAAAAAAACATAAAATATTAAAATACGTTTACTTTTACTAGAAGCGTACTCACGCAATGCAGCGAGATACATCGTGATTTTAATATTTCATTTTATTATTTATCTCAGTCGATGTTATAATATGGCTTTATGTGATTTTGATAAAGCGATGATGTTTTTATTTTTGAATAAAATATATGTTTGAAAATATCACAAAAATTTTACAAAAATATATCGATATTAGTATCAAATTAACTATTTGAAATTTTTGTGTAATTTTTTAATTCAATTTTTTTATAATTTAATTTATGTACAAT